GGGAGCCCGATGCGGGACTCGATCCAGGGACTCCAGGATCATGACCTGAGCCGAAGGCAGTCGCTTAACCAACTGAGCCACCCAGGCGCCCCCGAGCAGCAGGCTTTCTGGGGCCTGGTTTTCTTCCTGAGGAGGACCAGGGGCTCTTAGAGCAGCGAGCTTTTCAGGTTCCATTGAATTTAAAGGGCCATCTGGGAGGCCTTTTTGCCCCCAAAACCGGGACCAGTGAAGTTGCTAAGGGTTCCCTGGCTTCTGAGCTCTGCAGGGATGGGGCTTCCTTTGGCCCCACAGGCAAACATGCTGGCGTCCTGGGTCCCTGACCAGTTGGGGGCAGTGGAGGGAGGAGGCACCCCATGAGCCCCGTGTCTAAAGGCGGGCTCTTGCATCACGGGGCTCCAGCACTAGGACTGCCGAGCCGGCCGCTTATCCAGCACCACCGTCACCTCCTCTGTCTAATGAGAGCCGAGGTGGTCTTGGGTCTACGTGTGTATAGGTGTGCCTTGATCGGTGGAGGAGGAGGAGAACGCCAGCGCCCATCACCACCAACCGTGTCTGCCGTCTTGTTTTGTAGATTCCCAACTTCTTCTAGAGCCTGGGGATCGGTCACACTGGTGCGTGGTGGCATACTGGGAGGAGAAGACGAGAGTGGGGAGGCTCTACTGTGTCCAGGAGCCCTCCCTGGATATCTTCTATGATCTACCTCAGGGGAATGGCTTTTGCCTCGGACAGCTCAGTTCGGACAACAAGAGTCAGCTGGTGCAGAAGGTGCGGAGCAAAATCGGCTGTGGCATCCAGCTCACGCGGGAGGTGGACGGCGTGTGGGTGTACAACCGCAGCACGTACCCCATCTTCATCAAGTCGGCCACACTGGACAACCCGGACTCCAGGACGCTGCTGGTGCACAAAGTGTTCCCCGGCTTCTCCATCAAGGCGTTTGACTACGAGAAAGCGTACAGCCTGCGGCGGCCCAACGACCACGAGTTCATGCAGCAGCCGTGGACGGGCTTCACCGTGCAGATCAGCTTCGTGAAGGGCTGGGGTCAGTGCTACACCCGCCAGTTCATCAGCAGCTGCCCGTGCTGGCTGGAGGTCATCTTCAACAGCCGGTAGCCCCGCGGGGGGACGATGGGGCGGGAGCCGAGCCGGCCCAGCCCAAACTACTTTGCTGCTACTACGTTTCCTCCCGAGTGCTTGCTTTTCATGCAGACTCCTTGGTCGTCGTGCGTTGTTGTTGTTGTTTTTCTCCCCGCCCCCCTTCTTGTTGTTCTTGTTTATGTTCTGTTTTGTTCTTTGAGAAATAGCTTATGAAAAGAATTGTCGGGGGGTTTTTTTTGGGGGGGGGTGGTGGTGGCGGGGTATGGCTGGCAGAAGACCCCAGTAGGAAAAGCGGAAGCAAGAATCCGTACCACCAAACATACAAGGATGGGGAGCAGGCCGTCACCTTGGGGTCCTCGATTCCCTTGTCAGGGCGGATGTGAGGGCGAGTGCGCGTGTGTTTCTTACGGGGCTGTCTCTGCGGGGAGGTCGGTGCTCCAGGCGCTGTCTCTCCTGCCCTTTGGACATGCTCAGCGGGCAGAGGCAGTACCTGGGCAAGCTGGCAAGCCGGTAGCTGGGGTTCCAGCAGCTGCCAGAAGCCGGGCTCTGTCCCGCTCCCCCCACCCCGCTTCTCCCCGCCCCTTCTAGGACAGGGGCCTGTCTGCAGGCTTCTTAGAAGCAACGCTGCAAAGAGGCTGAACCAGAACCAGCTGTTCCATGCTTGTCTTCCTCCCCGTCCAGCCACCCTGCTGTCCTTGTCGCGTCTTTCTTTTTTGGCCATCTGCTCCTGGATATCTCTGAGATGGGCTTCCCGAGGGCTGCCCGGCCTCCCCGGGGCAGTATTGCCCACCCAGGGCCCCTCCCAAGCCCCTC